ACTTCCCGTAGTTTGGTCAAACTCATGCTGGTAACCTCGAAAACACTATCCAACCATCTCGTCCTCTGCCGCCCCCTTCTCCTTGTGCCCTCCATCTTTCCCAGCATCAGTGTCTTCTCCAGGGAGTCTTCTCTTCTCATGAGGTGGCCAAAGTACTGGAGCCTCAGCTTCACGATCTGTCCTTCCAGTGAGCACTGAGGGCTGATTTCCTTAAGAATGGATGCGTTTGATCTTCTTGCAGTCCATGGGACTCTCAAGAGTCTTCTCCAGCACCATAATTCAAAAGCATCAACTCTTCGGCGATCAGTCTTCTTTATGGTCCAGCTCTCACTTCCATACATCACTACTGGGAAAACCATGGCTTTAACTATACGGACCTTTGTTGGCAAGGTGACGTCTCTACTTCTCTACTTCTTGTCTTCTAGTACAAATACTGTTTTCCCTGTCATATCTGAGCAAACAAAATATGCAAGGTTTTGAATCCCTACAAAAACCTGAAGAACCTTTGTACCATGTTATCACTGCACCATTTTGCAAATTTTAAAAAGGGGCAGGGCATAACATAAATCATTATTTGTTTCTGACTTCCAGTTGAAGATGGCGACAACGAAGACTACTTGTCCTTTAGCTCCACAGTTTGATTTAATTTTTTGTTTTGTTTTGTTTTTTTGAATAGTTTTAAAGTCAGTTGACTCAGCTGTTATTGATAATTGCAACAACAGGCAAGGAGCGCATTTCTTTTACATGGACTTAAAAGCCATATATTTTAATTGGAGGACAGGCACTGGGAGAGCAGCTGTTTTGTTTTGTTTTTTTTTAATATATATTTATTGAGGTTTTTCATACAAAGCATACTTAAGAGAAAAACAAATCATCATTGTCGGTTTAACATCTTTCCATTGTTACATTGGACTCCCCCACACCTCCCGCATACACTTACATCGTTGTAGAGTTAATTCCAAACAAATTATCGTTTTACTCATAATCTTAAATTTGATTAGCATATAATTCGCACTTGAATCTAATTTAGTGATAGACAATTGTTTTCTACTCTGACATCCCAGTCAGCACTCAATCAAATTACAATACTTTTGTAGATAAATCTTAAATTTTCTCCAGTCTTCTTCCATTCTTTCTTCTCCCAGGTCTCGAATTCTGCCGGTCATCTCAGCTAGCTGCATATAGTCCATCAGCTGCATCTGCCAATCTTCCAAAGTGGGTAGCTTCTGAGTTTTCCAGTTCTTAGCGATCAGTATTCTTGCTGCTGTTGTTGCATACATAAAAAATGTTCTATCCTTCTTTAACACACTCTGGCTGACGATACCCAAGAGAAAGGCCTCTGGTTTCTTAATAAAGGTGTATTTAAACACCTTTTTTAACTCGTTATATATCATCTCCCAGAAGGCCTTCACTCTAGGGCAGGTCCACCAGAGGTGAAAAAAAGTTCCTTCATTTTCCTTACATTTCCAACATTTGTTATCAGACGAATGGTATATTTTAGCTAATTTAACTGGGGTCATGTACCATCTATACATCATTTTCATTACATTTTCCTTCAAAGCATTACATGCAGTGAAGTTCAGCCCAGAGGTCCACAACCTTTCCCAATCTTCAAACATGATATTGTGCCCAATGTCCTGTGCCCATTTTATCATTGCCGATTTAACCATTTCGTCTTGTGTATTCCATTTCAGCAGCAAATTATACATTTTTGAAAGTACTTTATTCTTAGGTTCTAACAGTTCAGTTTCTAACTTTGACTTCTCCATTTGGAATCCTAACTTTTTGTCATTTTTAAACACTTCTTTAATCTGAGCATAGTGTAGCCAGTCTCGCACTTTATCTCTCATCTTCTCTAAACTCTGCAATTTCCAGTTGTCACCATCCTTTTCTATTATCTCCCAATATTTTGGCCAATTGGCCTCCATATTGGCTCTTTTTCGGGCCTTAGCCTCTAGGGGTGACAACCACCTCGGAGTTTTATTCTCCAATAAGTCTTTATATCTTGTCCAGACATTAAAAACTGATTTTCTGACAATATGGTTCTTAAAAGCCTTGTTTATCTTAACCTTGTCATACCATAGATATGCATGCCATCCAAATGCATTATTAAAACCTTCCAGATCCAATACATCCGTATCTTCAAGAAGTAACCAATCTTTTAGCCAGCAGAAAGCTGCAGCTTCATAATACAACTTTAAGTCTGGCAGGGCAAAGCCCCCTCTTTCTTTCGCATCTGTTAGTATTTTAAATTTAATTCTGGGCTTTTTGCCCTGCCAGACAAATTTGGAAATGTCTTTCTGCCACCTCCGAAAACACTCTGTCTTATCTACAATCTGTAGTGTCTGAAACAAAAATAACATTTTTGGCAGTACATTCATCTTGATGGCAGCTATTCGGCCTAACAAGGAAAGTTTTAATCTTGACCAACTATCCAAGTCTCTCCTAATTTCAGACCAACATTTTTCATAATTGTCTTTAAATAGACTCAGATTTTTTGCTGTTATGTTTACCCCTAGGTATTTAACTTTTTTGACCACAGTTAGTTCTGTCTCTTTCTGAAACCGTTCCAACTCAGTGTCTGTCAAGTTTTTCCCCAAAACCTTAGTTTTTTGCTTGTTTAATTTAAATCCCGCCACTCGACCAAAGTTTTGAATCAGTTGTAATACTCTTTTCGTACTAGATTCCGGCTCCTGTAATGTCAGAACTAGGTCATCTGCAAAAGCTTTAAGTTTATATTGTTTCGCTCCGACCTGAATCCCTTCCACCAACCGATCCCCCCTAATCATGTTCAGGAGCACTTCCAGAACCGAAATAAATAGTAATGGAGAAATCGGGCAGCCTTGTCGTGTACCTTTTTCAATTTTGAACTCTTCTGTAACCACATTGTTGACTATCAGTTTGGCCTTTTGTTCTGAATATATTGCCTCAATCCCATTCTCAAACCCCCGTCCCACTCCCATTTCTTTTAAGTTCCCCTTCATAAATTTCCAAGATATATTGTCGAAGGCTTTCTCCGCGTCTATAAAAATTAAGGCTGCTTTAGTGTTTATGTTTGTTTGCAAAAGTTCCAGTATGTCTATAATGTTCCTTGTATTAGCAAACATGTATCTACCCGGGAGAAAGCCTGCCTGGTCTTTATGGATTGTCTCACTTAAGACTTTCTTGAGTCTACGTGCCAAAACATCTGCAAATATTTTGTAATCCACATTTAAAAGGGAAATGGGACGGTAGTTCTTAAGTTGTGTCTTTTCAGTTGGGAGAGCAGCTGTTTTGACTCGGTGTTCAGCATTTAGCTGATAAGGAAAGAATAGAAGTTCATCTCGACTGAAGGAGACTCTGCAGTTATATCAGTCTTGATATGGTTACCACACAAGCACAGACCCGCAGTGCTTCAAATAAATCATCCAGAACTCCATTAACAAATTTAGTTCAGAAATATATAATGGACTGTTGTGAATCAGTAACTGGAGCAGCTGGAGCAAGGTAAATGGAGGAAAAGCATTTGCAGCAAGATACAATTTATTTATCATATATGAATTGCCCTAGTTCCTTACATGGCGACTGTGCAAGAAATGTAACATATGTAATATGTTCCTGTAATGAAAGCTTAGCCTAAATAGTTAGTTTATCTGAACTTGTTAGGAGTTGATACATAGGCTTCCAGGCAACTGCAGCTTCTTCCATATAACAAAACCTCAACAATGCGCAATAACAATTGTAGCATAATAGACTTGGCCACAACAAAATAAAACTCTCACCATGGGAACTTTTATGTGACCAATTCTCTTGACACAACAAACAGCAGAGGGAATCCTTAGCAGAATCAATGCTTTGGAAAAGGAAGTTTATGGTTTGAATGCCATAATTGGTGCACTACTTGGGTTAGTGGACAGGAATTCTGTCTGTAGCCCTCCAGATGGGACCTACCAGCGAAGAAACTGAAGTTGGTGGTGGTTTGGAGGGATATCAGGGAAACCTCTACAATGGTTTGAATTCCTGTTTGCAATTCAGATTCTGTTTTCATTATTCTGCTGGATTTCTTCACTGACCAGTTATGAAGAACATCTGTACAATACCTCTTTCTAGAAGAATCATCATTGGAATTTGGACTTTCCCCCTCACTCACTACTTTTCCAAGTGTGTTTATGAATCCATCATTTATTGCCTTTTTCTCCCACTTGCACTGTGGGGCGGGGAATGTGGAGTGTCTGCCTGTAGCCTCCTGAGTTCCATCAAAAGATGCCACATTGGGGCTTGAACAAATTAGGTGTCGGACTGAAATCATTTCCTTGGAAGGTAGCAACTGGATTATCAGCATACTCATCCACTATCAGTAGCCTTGGATCTGAAGGGGTTTATTCAAGAATGGAAAACTCCTCAAGTCTATCTCCTGATCATTCATATTGGTGTAAAAGTAGGTCTCCAAGTTCCAATCTCGATGTCATTTAATTCTTTAGCTACTGAATCTGTTCCTTAGTGAGCTCAGAGCTATCGCTGTCTTGATATGCCTACCTTGTTTCTGCACTACACATTTTTGCATTTATGTTTTTAAATGAGCAACTTGGAAATGTTTTCACTAATAATGCAAAATTTCAATATTTTTTTTGATACAAAGAAGTGAAAAAGGTGGATATCTAGCCTGTGTGTTAGTCCAGGATGTATGACTCAGGTCTGTTGAAAACATAAGAATGTAAAATGTACCTGTTGGATCAGGCCAATGGCGTCCTGTTCTTACAGGTGGCCAACCAGATGCCTGCAAGGTGGACATGTGATCATCATCACTCTGCCCATCTGCGATTCCCAGCACTGCTATTCAAAGGTAGAAAGCCTCTGATAGTGGAAGTACAACATAGCCTCATGATTAGTAGACAATGATTGCCTTTGCCTCCAGATCATATTGGAGGTAATAAAGATCCAATTCCTCAAGCATCCCTAGTTGACTAACGTTCTTATTTTCTAATGAATGCAAAAGCTGATATTTGCATGACTTTTAGCGATGTTAATGTTTAGTGGCACTTTCTCATGAAGATGTTCAATAGGAACAGTGCAGAAATCAATAAATGTGATTATGATCATGGCTTTGGAAACGAAGGGTCACCAATTAAAATAATGTTTGTTCAGGAACATTCTGACTTCTCAGAGAAAGCTCAGCTTCAAAAAGCACTGTATGTTTTTGTTTATATTTAAATATTTAGAAACTGCACTTTCATTAAAATTGTAGCAAGGCGGTATACAACATAAAAGGATAATGTTACAATAACATCAGTAAAAAAGTGGTTGTTTTTTGTTTTGTTTCTTTCATTTTAAATCGCATTCCAACGTTCTGTCTAAGCAGTAGAGTTTTCAAAAGTTGTGGAAAAGAAAGCTGGGTGACTGCTGCCCAAATTCTATAGGGGAGGACTTGCACAGGGCAGAATCTACCACACTAAAGGCTCTAGTAAAGGCCACCTGAACACATGGATATATGAGACCATCCAAAGTGCCCCTTCAGAAGATCTCTGTGATCAAGATTGAGCTATAGGAACAGGGTATACAGGGAATACGGTGAGGTGCAAAGAGAAGAGAGGAAATAGGATGCATGGTTTGAAGCACAATGATAGGAACGTCCCAAGTTCTTGATCACAGGAGCCTGAACCTGAAATATACTGGGCTGGTGTAAAGTAAAATTATGGAGCAGTTGTAAGCTCCCGGGAAGTGTGTTTGTTGGTTATTGGATCACTTTCTCTGCAAGCAGAGAGGGAGCTGTTAGGTAGAATGTTTAATTGAACAGTGAAATGGAAAATGGTTCTGAGACTTCAGATAGCCATGAAACCATCACTACTCCACTGTCCAACAGTGGTAGGGAATGAAAAGGGACGTGTCAGAAGTGGGTTGGGAAATGTCTTTGATCCGTGTGATTCAAGGCCCTCTCATTCCCCATACAAGCCCCCCAGAGAGAAAAATGATGGCAGCCTCCAGAGCTGGCATAGTTCCTTTACCTTCCATTGAAACCAAAAGGGGGGAGAATGTGAAAAGGACAATCATGTACTAATAGTATGGGGGTGGGGGAGAGCTGCTCCACCAGTTTCCGCCCTCGCAAGCAGCCAGTCCAATGTGGTTTAGGAAATGGCATTTCCTTTGCAACTGACTCTCCCCCTGCCCTCCACAGGCTCTGTAGAACTGGACACAAGTCAAAATCAAAGCTGAGCAATCTGCTATTTATCTTATTCACAATACAATAGGGCTCAAAGGATGTTAAAAGAGCAATTGGAATAAAGCAGAGAGAAAAGAAACTGACAATACTTTACTGAGGAAAACTGATTAAGAACAGCACATAACTCTAGAAGAAATAGCCAGAGGTTTTCCCTTCTTTACAGGGTTCAGGTCTACACTGGGTGTGGGGTATGGACTCCTTCAGAACCACTTTACCCTCCTCCCCAGCTCCTAGATCTCAACTGTCTTTTTCACTGACAGCTAACTCACAATTGACTAGAATCTCCATACAATCAGAGCATGCTGTCACCCAGACTAATAGCAAAAATAGCCCTTTAAGTCATACACTGAATGGTCTCTGTTGTACTTCCAACACTAGGAACACCACATTTGGTGGCTTTATTGTAGCTGAGCAGGTGAACAGTAAGTAAGGCATTGGAAGGGAAAGTATATAGCCAAGAGCTAAAGAGAATTATGGGAGGCAGGAGAGAGAGGAAGGAGGGAGGCATAATTCCCATCAGGAGACCATCTGACTGAAGGAACAATAACCAGAAATCCCTTCTAGAACAGCAAAGGTGCAAAATGATGCTTGAAATTATTGGCCATCCTGATGCACAGCCCAGAATATTTTTTAAGGGGGGAAAGAATTTCTTATTTGGTGGAAAGAGGATTACAATTCTTTAACACAGCAGTTTTAAAAAATAGTTCCTGTTGGAAACTGCTCGGTGAACTGGATTAATGGAGAGAGTGCAAGGAAGGCTGTCAAGAGACCTTGAAAAATACAGCATATCACATCTGGATCTGTAATCTATCACATAGATGTCACCAGTCACAGCACACACTCACAGTGAGATTTTCAACGCAGTTTAAGATAGATGCTATAGGCAATCAATCCCTTTTTCATTTGATTTCCTGTGAAAAAGCTACACAGAATTTAAAACAGATGAAAGCTAATGGGTCTTTTATGCATTACACCCAAGTCCTATTTAATTTAACTGAAAATGAGATTCCACTTCTGCAAATGTTTGAAAGTCATAGAATTGGAGAGGTAGGTGTGATCCCCATCAAAAGATATATTGCAAGTATGGCACACTAGCAGACCAAGTGTCCTTATTTACTCCAGAATTTGGAAGTGGGGCATTGGCGTAACATTTGCATGAGAGGCATGTGAGCAATCTGGGGTTGTGGCTTTGCTCCAGTGTTTGGTTGCCCTTTCTAAAAAACAACAGCCAACTCTTTAATGCACATTTCTCATAATATGCATATATTTGTATTCAGTTTTGCTTAATATAATGCATTTTAGTGCTTTTCTCCCATGAATACATTTATTCTTATGCACACGTTTCCCCAATGTACACCTTTGTGTCACCATTTTGTTTTCACTGGAGAGCAGCATTGCAAAATGTAGAGAAGGGCAACATTCAAAAGAATGCATGTCTTTCAGGAGGTGCAAATTTTCCCCCATGCCAAACCTGTGGCCCTCCATATGTTGGACTACAGCACCCATCATCAGTGCCTGTGCTTGCTGGAGATTATTCCTGCATTGCAGGGGGTTAGACTAGATGTCCCTTGAGGTCCCTTCCAACTTTACAATTCTATGATGGGAGTTCAGCAGCTGAAAAGCCACAAATCCTGCCTCCCTTGTTTTATATACCCTGCGCCGCAGAGCCTCACTTCTCATCCTTCTCATTGCTTGTTCAGTGTTCCTGTTGCTCTGCTCTTAAATGTGGCGTGCACTTACCCCGATGATGCCAGACTTCTCAAGGTGCTGTGCAAGTGCTCTTCTCGTAGTCCTTTATAACAATCGCGTATGACAGAGCAACTGCTGAAATCAATGGAGATACAGCTGAGAAGATTTTTACCCAATTCACTTTGCTGCTACCCTTTGATTATTACAAATGCAGCCTAAACAAACATTAAACATTGATGAGCGAACTGAAATGTGTCTGCATTGTTTGCTACAGCTGCTCTGGAGAGGGAAAGAAATCATTGGTTCAAAATGCCTTAGTTATGTCAATTATTGTCACGAAGGAGCTACTTGCTGCACTCATCGTTTCAGTAACATATCCGAGATCTGTCCCACAGATCAGAGGAGATCATTTCCCCCTGAAACACCGATTTAATTCAAAACCCGACCGTTTTAAACTTTGAATGATCTGTTATACTGAGCATGACATCCCAGGACTCGTGAAGGAGGCTTGGGATACGTTGTTTTCTGATCCAGTGCTTTGAATAAGAATAAGAACAAAAAAGACTGTCTGCCATGAAATGCCTGCTAATATTATGTGAGTTTGCAAAAAAAAATTCTGACTCAGATGTTTGGCCTAATCATCCTTCAAGTCAAGTGAAAGGGGCAGAAGCAGCCACTGTGTGTATGAAAATCTAATAATTGCAGTAGCCCTTTTCAGGTGAAGTGCTCACACAATCTGTCAATGCATTATTAGGAAGTGGAGCTGTGCCAATTAGGCCCCTCCCCTGACATTCAATGGTTCCCTCCATTGAAAAAAAACAAATGTGTCTCGGCACAATAGAAGCTGTTGGGTCTATTTGGTGCCTTGTGTTCTAATGGTTTCTTAATATTTTCCCAGGACATTTGCATCTTTTAGGACAAGGCTTACTGTTCCCCTTTCAGGGTATCAATGTTACTGACAGGGCAGGTTTTTATGCAATGCCACATTGTTTAATAAATCATGGATATGTTAGCATGTAAAATAGAGCAGCATGGGCCGACTTATAAATAATTAAATATTCATTTGCATAAAGATGAAGAGCATATTAAATACCAGAGGAAACGGAACGAGATAGGACTGTATGTCCTGATGAAAGCAGGGAAAGAGGGAGGTCATCACATACACAGACAGCTGCAGAGAGGCACACAATCTCAGGTTGGGGTGGTGGTAAAATTCACTGCACGTTTCAAAGGCCTGCTCCTGCACACATTTACCGATTTCATTTTTTAATAGAACAGCTTATTTTAAGAGAGTCTGTTGTTGCTTTCATAACCAGGGATGAAGGCATTCTTGAGAAATAATTGTAATGCAGTAGTGACAAAAGAAGACACAACTGGAAGAATTCCTTTCTTAAGGCCTAAGACAAGGGTGGGGAACCTGTAGCTCTCCAGATATTAGACTGTCATCCCTGACTATTAGGCACAATGGCTGGGACTACTGGAGCTTGGAGTCCAATAGTATCTGGAGGGATACAGGCTTCTGTCCCTGCTGCAGAAATAGTGGCCGCTTCCTTTGATCACACCGTGCCTTGACCAGCTTCCCTAGCACTGTTGTTTCCCACCCTCACTCTCCACACATACTGTTCCTCTTGAATTTAAGCAGCGGATGAAGATAACCTTCTCTCGGATTGGTCTCTTCTTGCCTAAACCCCTTTCTCCACTGCCCTTTTAATCAGGTCACCTTCCTTTGAGCTTTTTTTAAACCCCAGTCCACTTCTGATTAGTCTGTACCTTTTGTTTTGCTCTGTGACCTCTTCCTAATCCCCAATTTACATTTAGCTTGGTGTATTTATAATCCCAACCAAACTGCCAATTTATCCTTCCCTTACATAAGTTGGACTGCCTGTTGTTTATAAGTTTGTTTTGGTCGTCAGCACAGCAGGAGCATTCAGCCTCTGAAGCAAAATCTTAGGTTGAATGGGACCTGAGCCTACATGAGCAACAGCACCTTAAACAGCAGGTGGAATCCTACTCCATAAGAAAAAATTACAGGAGTCAATGTCTCCTCACAAGTAAGGTCCTTCTCATGAGGAGAGCTCTCATTGACAACAGCTGGTGGAATTCAGCTTGAACCTGGGTGTGGCTCCAGCAGCTGCAGCTCAAAAGTCTCAGTGTCAGGCTGGAAGAGCTACTGGAATAATGTTTTTCTACTAGCATTGTGCCTTGCACCTGACCTTTGTTGCCTAGAAGCAGAACTCAGGTTTTCCCTTGACTTGCCTGAGCCCTTCCTTGAATCTCTGCTTACCTGGACTGCTCATCAATTTGCGTCTTGCTTGAACCACTGTTTGCCTGAGAATGGACTTCATTCAGACTGGCCTTGGATATTGCTGCTGTCTGTGGTAGCTCTGCTGTCTGAAAGTTCCCCAGCAACTTGGGACCCAACTAGGACAGGACACGAGTTTGTGTAAAATGTCTTCCTCTAAGCACAGCACAATTTCCCACCAAGGTCTGAAACCCCCACAGTTTGAAAAGAAAAAGAAAAAAAGACTCCAGTTAAGCCTGTGCAGTTACCAAGCACACTTGAGCTCCAGGATTTAGAAATTTAGGACAGGTGAGGAAATTGGTTGTTTTTCAGTCATTGTGAAGTCATCCCATGGGAACAGCACACTGTGCCACTAATGGGAGATAACCTGTGTTAATGAGAGGCTTAATGAGGCAGTTTGCTGAGAGGTCAGCAGATTTGTCCATGACAACAGTGGAAAGAAATGTGGAAATGTACAATCACCCCAGAGATGCTGGTAATATCACCAGAGAGGCTTGAGTCTGAGGCTGCAAGTCTGAAGAGTAGCCAAAAGCCAAATCTCTTAACAAAGAGAAACCTTGTGGGTTTACAAGGCCACCTTTGAGTGCTTGCCTCTTAATCCTTGCCTCTTAATGAACCTTCCGTTAGTCAGAAGGATTTACTATTGATAATTCATGTACACTTTTGACATTGTTTCTCATAACAGGTTTTCTGCATGCCACATTCCCTGCCTGAGTGGGACCATAATCCTGTTAGTGATATCACTGTCTGTTGCTATGGAAATGTACCTGGTGATACAAATTCAGCACAATAATGCCTTCTCTGCTTGATCAACAGTCAAGAAGACATATGCATGTGTATCTGTGAGTGACTGTAACTGTTGTATTATGTCTTTCACCAGAGTCGACAAAGGCGCTGTCTTTAAGTACTTGGAGTCCTGGGCATGCATTAGGGACTAAGTAACTGTGAACGTAAAGGGTATTGAGAAACCTTTACATGATACATTTATTTGTCTAGAGTCCATGTAAGCGGAAATAGAACAGTGACTAAACAACATAAATGGTAGGGCTGTGCATGGGTCCCAAGATTCATCTTGTATCTATATTTCTGTTTTGGTCAGTTTTGGGGTTTGATTTTTTTACAATTTTCTGCGATCTCTTCAGTCTGTGTTTCTTTGAGTGGCAAACCATCAGGGAATATATGCAATGAAGTTGATGCAGACCATGGAGTCACTTCTAGTTCTTGGATTCAGATGGCCCTATTCAATAGGGCCTATTGTGGACAGTGTAGTGCTCTGGAATCCCAGAGCTCGTGGTCCAAGGCTGTGGTACTGTATATCTGGACCAAGAAATGATCTGAAATGAAAATGTGAGCTGGACCATAAAGAAGGCTGATCGCCGAAGAATTGATGCTTTTGAATTATGGTGCTGGAGGAGACTCTTGAGAATCCCATGGACTGCCAGAAGATCAAACGTATCCATTCTTAAGGAAATCAGCCCTGAGTGATCACTGGAAGGACAGATCGTGAAGCTGAGGCTCCAATACTTTGGCCACCTCATGAGAAGAGAAGACTCCCTGGAAAAGACCCTGATGTTGGGAAAGATTGAGAACACAAGGAGAAGGGGACGACAGAGGACGAGATGGTTGGACAGTGTTCTCGAAGCTACCAGCATGAGTTTGACCAAACTGTGGGAGGCAGTGGAAGACAGGAGGGCATGGCGTGCTCTGGTCCATGGGGTCACAAAGAGTCGGACATGATTAAACGACTGAACAACAACAACAACATATACCAATAGCGCATAGGCCGAAACCATTGAACTAGTCTGGAGAAGGTGACAGATAGCACCTGTCTCAGATGATCTGCATGTAGTCTCCATATGTTCGATTACCTAGTCAGGCATTACAGAGTGAGCAGAAGGACATTCTGTTATAGTTGAAAACACATCAATATGCAAGTCTGCTTTCAGTCACAGAAATAAAGACAGGCAAGACTGAATGCAGCAGCCTACTGTCTAGCCTAGGCTACAAGCAGGCATACATTCTCTGTGATCAGGTGATGGTAGAAGCTCGACTCCCTTATGTTACAACTTCACTGGAGCCTGATTGCTGGAATGCGGGTCACTAACCGATTTCTGAGTGGTAACATGTTTTCTTCCCCTGAATATACTGACGTTTTTCATTTCCTAAAGTAAAAAAGTTGCATTTTGAAGGAGCAGAGCAATAATTCTGGTTACACTTCTTATTACAGCTTGTTGACTGAAGCTACGAAAGGGGGGAAGGGGAATGAAATTGGTACATGACAGGCAGCTATTCCCTTCTGTCAGAGACTGCCTCCAGGTCCCAGCTCACAGAGGACCAACGCTAGCCAGTTGAACTGTACAAAAGTCTTTATTGAAGCATAGTTTCCATTTTCAAACCCTAGCGTGCGTCTCTACGTCTAGAGCCTAGACCGACGAAGCTCCGTCTGAGTCTCCGCCCCCTGTACACCAGCTTAAGACTCTAGCCTTACTCCACCTCTTCCGTCTCTCCTTCCGCCTCTGGGTCCTACCACCCCCCGGGGTCCCTTCCTTCCTGGACGCTTCGGAAGCGGACCCCTCGGACTCTTCCCCCTCCCTTCGGCGGGCTTTAGGACCTGGCTCCCTATCCGGGCTGCTCATCGCGCCACCCTCTTGTACATTTGAACTTGGCGCGCGCGCGCTGCCTCCGACCTTCCTTTCGACCTTTTCCTCACTCTCTGATGCAGGCGTGGCTAACCCTGACTCATGTCCTTCCGCTGACGGAAAGCTGCCTGATGCCGATGCCTGGGACTCCTCCCCCCTACTGCTCTCCGGTGGGGAAGCTGGTCCCGATTTCCAACTGCTGCTCTCTGAGTCCCCCCTGGCCCCTCCTTCCTGGGGTGTTCCCTCTGGCAACCCCCTAGCTCTGACCACGGGAGCCCCTTTCTGTGAATCCTCCGATTCGCTGGAGAGACTTAGAGACCTCGGGCGGCTATCATCGCTAACTTCTCCCTCGGATTCCTCCCCCTCGGTCTCTAATTCCTCCCTTTCCTGTCCCTCTGCTCCTGAGCCCCTGACACCTTCCATAATGCATTTAGGTTCAGACTGCATTTTGAACTATGATGTGAAGGCTTTGGAATTAAAAAGCTGCCCCTGGAGAAATGCAGAATGGTCTGCAAATATGACATATTCCTGTCATCCTCCCCTCTCCCCAAACTAAGCATTGCTAAGTTTAGCTGCAACACTCCCAACAGGAATTGCTCAGCAAAATCCCAGGGCACTACTTTGAACATTTCAGGGGATGTGCTGTCTTGCACTATCAAAGGCTCATCCTTGCTGAATATGCCTTTGATCATAGCTGGGAGAAAGATTTGCAACCATGTGAAACTTGACTCATTTGGGGTTTCATTATACACTTTGACCATTTTCACTAAAGCCTTTGCTAAAGTTCGCAAACTATTTCAGTTGCACCTTTGATGGGTTTCTGGCACAGAGTTTTGCGAGAAATTCATAGATTTGCCAGGAAGCTAATGGGAAATGTTTCAGAGTTCTAGGCCCATCTGACTGCGCAAAACTCACCATATGCTATAGAGAGATTTAAGAGTGCAGAAGTTATTTTGAAAAGAGAATAAGCCAGTAGTCCATCCAGTCCAATTTTGTCAGCTGCAGTTCTTGGGCCTATACCTGCTTTTGCTTTAAGGGAATGGAAGATGTAAATATTTTAATGCCTTAGAAGCAAGAAGCTGGTTAGGGATGCAGCAGGACCTTTGGATTGCAAGCAAGGAAGATGTGCTAAAGAAGGAAAAGGAGGTTTAGAGAAGCTGAATGTATTCTTCGTGGCTATTTTTGTTGTGGAGGATGGGGCGATAAAAAAAAAATCAGTCCTCTTGTCAGATGGAGAACATCCCCTCACTCACCCACTTAAGGATATTCTACCACTCTCAGCAGAGTTTATTTTCTTTCAACAAAGTAAGCTGCTCACGTAGATGTCAAACAAAGCTTTAAAAATAAAGAAAACTGTAGCACAGTAACATACTGTCTGAGAGAAACTAAAACAACATGATGAGGCAAGAATGACAGTTGGCCTCTCTAACTGAACTTAACTGAACTCCTGAAGGGAGGGGCCGATTCCAGAGCACAACACAAACGCCCTGCCCACCAGATGACAGACATTCTACTAACAAAAATAATAATAATAAAAAATTGTCCAGTAGCACCTTATAGACCAACTAAGTATTGTTCTGTATAAGCTTTCTTAAGAAGTGTGCATGCACACGAAAGCTTATACCAGAACAAAGTTAGTCTATAAGGGGCTACTGGACTATTTTTTATTTATTTTTTATTTCAACTGTGTCAGACCAACACAGCTACCTACCTGAACCTACTAATCAAATTAGGCCCCAGTGTTTTTCTTACAGTTTTCACAGCAGAAGACACAGAGAAAATAATTGTGCCTGAAAACTACAGAGCCAAGGCAAATGATGGCGGCAAGATATGACATTCTAGGCCTTATTGATAAATGAATTTATTTATTTATTTATTTATTAATCCCTGGGTCAAGATGATAACCACCTGAGAGTTTTTAAAGAACACACGTATGAAATTACTGATCTTCTAATGAAGCTATGTAACTTATCCCACAGCAATTAAAGTTGCCAGCAGGGGTGCAGGAACTCACTGCATGGTGGTCCCAACATGTGGCCTGTTCCACTTCACAGTGGAGGTGAGAGGTGGGAAACAAGCTGTCCTAGGAATAATAGGATTGCAGCCGCAAATACCAGGTATACAAGCTCTGAGGAAATTGCTTTAATGCTGCTGATTTATTTCTCTTTTGATTGCTGTTTCTTTTACTCTGTTTTACAATCTTGTTGTAAGCGAGCTTGGAAATGTTTTATGTTGAATGGTCAAGATACAATTTAATAATAATATTTATGAATTAGCCTTAGAATTGGCCCAAAACTAATGATGTGTCATTAGCAAGCATGTGGATGAAACCCTAAAAAGCTGAAGTACAGCATTATTACTGATGGGCTAAAGAACATATTCAGGAAGATACTAGGGCATAAACTGGAAAGGTTATTGCTGAGTTACCTCACAAACGGTGTTGTCTGCCAAGCTTCCATTGTTTGGAATTGGGCAACTGTTTGTCAACACCCCTTCCACTGAGTAAATTAAAAAGAAACTGATTGATCATTTCTCTTTATACCTAGTTCTATTCATGAAGGAATTGTTTTGTTTCTTCCTCATCCCCACAACATGTTGTTCAGTATAAAAAAGAATCACTTCTGAAAAGCATATCCTTCTTAATCAATGTTCACCTAGTCTTACAAAGAAAGATGAGTAAATCTGACTGACCTCTTCCTTATGCTATTCATGTTATAAGAAAAGATGGAGTCAGAGTTTGCATTCCAACTGCTTTTATATGAGAACTATGAATAATTAAATTACTCATGTATAAACAAAGCAAACCCTCAGGCACTCCCTCAGACGTCAGTGCTTCAAGCATTTCCCACACTTCTCAGTTTAAGTATTTAAACCTAAGCTAGAGGAATTTATTGAAGATGTTTTCAGATACTATTGTGGTACCATTGAGGTCCATGGTTTTTTTATTATTCCCATCCACTTTAGTGGGCACAAAATTGCACTTCTTGCTGCTTCCTGATTGAGCAACTGTTCACTAGGGAAGGACTTGACCATACATACCCTCAGTGAAGCACTCTGCTCTTTGTGAGAGCTAAATGAAGCTATAATTTCAGACTGACAATATGGCTTGGGAAAGCCCAGCATGAAGTAGGTATCTTTCATTAAACCAAGAAAGCATTTCCTAGGTGTGAGAGAAAACAGTGTTTTGTGCTCTGAGCACCAAAACCCATCCCTCATGGAAATAAAGACACAGTGGAGACAGAATTTAGTTTAAATATTAATGGGCAAATTTTGGCCACAACTTTATTGAATACACAAATGGGACTGGTATTGACTTAGGCAATGGTATCGAAACTACAACTGGCTCCTGCCCCACCCTGCAGAAAGCCTGTAAAGGTAAACAAGCAGCAGGGGGATCTCCGTCAGTGCATATTGACTGGTGCTCACCCCTGGGGTTCCCGGGGGTCCTGGCATGGCCCTAGCCCCTCTCTGGGCTACGGACGAGATCCAGACCCCCGGATTCCTTTAACAGAGTACCCTATTCATTGGAGGGGCAGCTGATGGCTGCACCTCCCCTCCCCACATTTCCCTAAACCAATGCCTAACCACCAAACTTTACAAAGTTGTGACGATTGCTAAGAGGTAGGCAAAAACCAAGTGGCCACAGCCAATCTGCCACATTGGGGGAAATTCCTACCCGGCCCCCATTCCAAAACAGGCGACCAACCAAAGTCCAAAGCAAGGCCAAACACCACCTAATTAACAGGTGGGTGGGCGGGTGTTTGGCAGCGCAAAGCAAAAGGAGGTCCCTACGTCGCGCTGCCAACCCCCAACCTTTGCCATGATGCTGGTTGGCTAAAGGCCAGTGGCATAACTGTGGCACCGCCGGCTTGGAGCAGGGCAAGCCCTGCCCACAAGCCGGTTGGGGAAGTTTCAGGGGCCGAGCACAACATGGACCCTCTGTTGGGAGGATCCAACTTATGAAACATGGCAAAAACTTTTTTATACAATGGGGAAGTGCTTCTTTGTAGGCTACAACTTGGTACAAGATCTAGGAAATGTTTGGGACCTGTACCAGTTGGCTCTGTACATGGAACCAGTGGCTAACTTGGAGCCTCCTGGCTTTCAGCATCCTACCCAACAAACTAAATTTCACTTCTAGAACCTCACAACTATATTTTCCCTTGCCTTTGATGCCAGCATGGACCACAACCACCGACTCCTCCCTGGCACCATCTACCAGGCTGTCTAGGTGATGGGCAACATCTGCAGCCTTTGCACCTGACAGGCAAATCACCCTGTGGTCTGTAAACCCATCACACACTCAACTCCCTATGTTCCTAATGATCAAATAACCCACTACCAGTATTTTCACACACCCCAGAGAAGTATACTCAACATGGGAGGGGTGTTATCATCTCCCAAAGAATAGGTCCTTCTAAAGGACCATTTCCCTCTTCCTCAGAGTGATGCCTTCTTTCCCGAAGATCCTCATTCTCTATGACAGTGGGGGAGCTATGAACCTGGGAGTGGGACACAGCTCTAACGTCCCTGAAGGCTTTGTCCACCAACCTATCTGCACCTCTCAGCTTTTCCAGGTTAACCACCTTGGCCTCAAGGAAAGAAACTTGTGTCTAGACAGCCAGGAATTCACTGTGCCAAGTGCATACCTACACTTCTATCCAACGGGCAGGCAGTGCAAAACACTGGAAAGCCCCCCCCACACACACACACCCTACTGAGTTGCATTATTATTAGGTTTTGTTTATGTCAAGGAATGCAGGGGTAACTAACATGCTTCCTAACTTGCTTGGCTGTTCAGCTTCAAACAATCTATAGTTTGGAGAAAGGGTTGTAGCTCAGAGGTAGAACACTGCTTTGCATACAAATGATTTCAGATTCAACTCCCAGCATCTCCAGGTAGGACTGGAGACCCATATCTGATATGCTGGAGAGTGCAAGAAGTTGCTGGCCAAGAGGACCCTAGTTCCCCTAGTGAGTCCAGCTCAGGAGATGCTATTTATGAGATTCCAGCGGCTCTGGATTCCAGTGGCTCCCAGCTGTCAGGTTCAGGCTTGCCATGAGGACTTGAGTCCAGTGCCTTCATAAGAAGGCATCCTCCCTCATCTGTCCAAGTCCTGGCTATTTTTCAAGGTCAAAGTCTTGAAAGCCCACAGCAGAAGCCCAGGTGGATATAGTTATGTGGCCCTCTGGCTAATGGGAAGAATATTGTCTAGAGACATGAATAATGAACATGGCCATGGTGAAGCTAAGCTACTTGTGTACTATTGAAAGCTTGCAGAGCAAGAACAAAAAATATATGTCATTGGGTGGTGATGATGGAGAAAGAGGTACCTAGCATTATGGCTTACTTAGTTTAACATTTAACTGTAAAGTATTGATAGAATTCTGCATTCTGTTTTTTATTGTGACCTTGGCTCATCTCTCTATTAGCTTTCACACAAAATGAGGGAGCAACTCATATTTCATTCCCTTGTGTAGTAAAAGGAGCATGGCCTTGTTAAAAAATGTAAGATGGATGAGGTGTGCAAAAAGAGAAAACAACTGCCAGTGCAAGTAATATTCAAATGCAAAGCTGCCTTTTTCTCTAAGTTTGGGAATGTTTCTACTATGGCAGTGGAAGAATTTCTCTTGCAACATTTATCTTCATTGCTTCACCCATTTTTGCCTCTGGCACCATCCACCACTGGTATGTGACCCTTGAAAGTTTGCCCAGAAGAGAATGCAGCTCTTGGGCTGAAAAAAACGGTTCCCACCCCTGACACACATGAAACCCTTTTGCCTTAGTCTTAGCCTCCAACCCCAGTGAATGGAAGCTAATGTAATCTAGGCAAGTTGTTTCTGAGAGGCGGGCAGAGGACAGGAAGAAATGGGGAGCAGAGTGCAAAGGCTCTTGATTTCTTTCTTTTTTAAAAGTGCTTTGGCATCAAGACAAGCTTTCCTCTTGAGGCTAACAGCAGCTTTTGGGGTGAGGGAAGGGAATTTTAATTTGGACTATGTCTTGTGTAGGCCACCTCCTTCCTGCAACCTCAATTCTCAGGTTGTTGTTTTTTAAGAATAAAAAAAACTTAAGTAATATATTTGATATCATGTGTAATTTGGCTGATAGTCTCTGGTCAATAATTGAATCAGTGGTGGTTCCAAGTTTCTGGAAGTCCAGAGCTGAGCATCCTTGTGGAGTTCCATGACAATGGCAGGCTTAACAGTTGGCAGCAGTGCTCACCCTGTATTTCTGGGCCTACAACATTTGCTCACCAGTGCAACCACTACTAATTTCCCTAGTAATTTCAGTGCCTCTAAGACATACCGTGGGTGCTGTGTTGTGGGAAAATTGACATGACACTAGCAAGTCTGCCTGCTAGGACCAGGAGCTCCAGGATCAGCGTTTCTGCCCAGTTTCTACTTGCC